CCCCAAAACCCCAAAACCCCAAACCCCAAAACCCCAAAACCCCACTCTGACGAATACACCCTGAATCGATGACAACATAATTTAATATTTTAACTTAAATCAATAAAATGGAATAATAATACATCTTAGGAAATTATCATTAATGTCTTAGTCTTATTGACAATAAATTTGTATCCATCCGCAATACCTATCGCTAACCAACTGAAACCCAAGCAGGTAGACTTATGCATGCTTGCAGTAGACTCTAGACTTGTGACTGCAATGTACTATGTCAGTATTTGATCTCAATTGCTCATCATTTAAATGAAATAGACGTGAAATAGTTCTTGGAATCTTAGTTCTACATTGAGTCAGAACTAAGATTACCATTCGATGCATTCTTGTATTGGATATAGCTTGAGATTTCTCGAAGTAACTTTGAATATGCTGCATATTTGATTAAAAACTACATTTCCCAATCAACTAGATTAGAGCAATAGAATGAAAGTGCAAATGCAAATATGATAGGTGGAGGTAAAGATGCTGGTCAGAACTAGTACTATAGAGGTTTGTTCGGGGGAATGAGAGGATTCAATAGTTACACAAATGCATAACAAAACAAGGATCTGCCATTAAGCAAGGATTAGTATTTTAAGCTTTTGGAATTGCTGATATTTTTCGTAATTCTACCACATTTAGGCATGCAGCACACTTTCTAGCAATTAAAAGAATTGCCAATGCCAAAGCATATTAAAACTGCATTCGAAGCGCGCCTTACCGATATCAGAAATGTAGTTGTGGCTGATATAAAACTAACAAATCAGGAATAACTTCTTATTAAAGGCTAAGATTAAAAGTCAAACAAGCTATAATAGCAAGCAAACTAGCTGAATGAAAATGGGCAGCAATAAAGTATTAGTCCTGAGGAAATATAAGCAGAAATTAAATAATAGTAGCAAATGATATAGAAAGAATAATAAAAACTTAGACAGTTGCAAGCGAAAAGGATACTTAGAGCAATAGCAGGCATATGCGTGGTTGTGCTGTTTTATATCGCCATTAAAAGAGGAACACTTAAAAGATTTGTACTGTGGTTAATATAGATGAGATTGGTTAAGTGGTTCATGGGTGTAATATTCAATTATAAATATTGAATGAATAGCATGGTTGAATGTGCTTGATGAATAAATGAAATTGTATGTAGCATATAATATAATTATCATTAATATATTGACTCAATATTATTCAAATAATTAGGTGAAATTAAGAGAACATTAATAAGCGAAACTTTCAAAGTCTTCATCAAATCTAATAATTAAAATAACTTTTCATCTACTTATAACTCATTCAAATCTTGTCTAAAATGATGAAACTTGTGCCTGTGTAAAAATGCCTAGTAGCTGATTTCGTGGTTCTATATGCATTTCTCCATTTTTCCAATTAGTAATCTTACATCGGCACTTGATGCAGGTAAACTTTAGATTTCTCGATTGGATTTAGGACGGTCTAATTGAGATTAGACCTATTGGTATATTACTGCTTAGCTTGTGCCAATCTATCTAAATTTAGAGTTGTTGCCCTTGGTGGAGATCTATTAATCTTAACTGCAAATAATGATTTCATATCGTCCTCATCATCTATACTTGCAGCACCTTTTTTGAGAATTTACTGCTTTACTAAATCAGGCCTGAAAAATGAATGGCCTGTACTCACAGTCATTTCATCAGCTTTTTTAATTGAAGTATTAGCTATTGGATTTGTCATTATTCTAAAACCAGATTCAAAGTTTTTTGGGGAAGTACTTATTAGAGCGTTCTTAACCTTGCCCTCTCTACTTTCTATCAAAGGTGGTTGCAGATTTAGTTAAGATTGATCCATTCGGGATTAATCATCAGCTACACTCCTTCCAATTTCCATAGTAGGTTATCTTCTATAAACCGAGTCAGTTGCGATTGAGATAGGCTTTGCTTAGTTATTGATTTTCAATCTTAGCTAGACATTTTTCTATTGACTTAAATTAGGAGTTTATGCTTGCTGGGAATGAGTCGTTTGTGGAGGCATTCCAAAGGCTGAATTGTAAAAGTTCTTATACTTATTCTCTTGCCTTACTCCAGTTAACTCAAGCTGAGGAAGTTAGTTTCTATTTATTTGAAATGAGGTATTTCCAGACTTCAACAACTCTCTTTAATTCTAAATCATCCTTCTATTAGTTAACTAGATGCTCTGTAGCTTATTTCTCTTAAAGAATTCCCTGCTATCTATGATCTCATTTTGGACTGCTCTTGAGGTTCTGTTGTTTGCTGAGACCTAATTAGTGTTTTCTGGAGAGAGCATTTAACTTGTTTGTTGCATATAAAGTTAATCGTCATAGTCTTCCCCACGTAGAATCATTTTTATCATTTTTAGCTTTTACTCAACCTACCCTTAATCTATGGTGCTTTTAACTACTGAACTTTACTAACTTATTTAGCTTTAAGCTCTGTGACTTGGTTATGGGTTCTGTTGTCTTCTGCTGGTATCTCCAAGAGCACTGCCAATAGTATTCTTCTTTTATTGGACAGATCTGAACTTGAGATTTGAATAAGTATCTCTTTTGAATTTATTATCCACTTTATTATAATCATTTTCATCAACCTCCTAGATGCCATACAAGAGTTCTCTCTTAGCATCTTCAGGAGAAAAATCTCCAAAGAAGCTTGTGTTCAAATAGTTCTCACTGGGCTGACATAAGACCTTACTTTTCTTGTTAACTTTCTCAAACTTCTCAAACTTGTACTTATCAATATTTTCCAGATTACTCTGCCTCAAATCTCGCTTCTCCAAGCGTTTAGTTTTCTTATTCCACACATACTTAATATATTTACTATCTTCATCTGTAGTTTCATTGGACTTCATTTTGCTAACTGATGGTTCGTTTAAATCACTCTTGCCTGGAGAATCAAAATCATCAGTGGCACCATGATTGCCATTAGGACTCTCTGTGTTATCATGATCCGACTCTTCATCTTCCTTGTTCATTTGGACAAATTATTTATACATCAGCATCTGCTTGACTCTCTATTCTTGTGCTTCTCTAGTTAAGGGCAATCCAAATTAGTTCTAATGCGAAATGCTTTAATTTTTGTGAATTTCTCCCTTATGTGCTCCAAAGCCATTTGAATTTTGATGAGTACTTATCATATATTTCCCCAATTAAAGGTCTCTATTTATCTGCTTGAGGATATCATACCGATTCATAACTGTGTTAAGATCTTCTTTTTCAGAGTTCATAAAGAATGGAAAGAATCGAACTTTTATTCTATTTTTCATTTCATGTTCTCTTTTGGCTTAGTCCTCTTTGACCTTTTTAGCTATTTAGTTTAGATTAATAAGGTTTGACATGTCAGCATCACTCGGCTCCTCCATTTCCTCCTTACTATCTAGAGTTGATTTACCTTTCAGAGATAATGGTGATTGTTTACCCTAATTAACGTCAATCTTCTTTTTTGTTTGGAATATCTCTTCAATAAACTCAGAAGTTACAGGCGATTATATATCTTCCAATCTTTTAAATGCTAGCTCATGCTGAATCTTCTCATAAAATGTGAAACTCGAGAACACTTTTCTGAAGATGTACTCGTATCTAATATTCATCAAAACCTAATTAACTTACTGATTGATTGATAATCTGTAAAGCATGGTGCCCGACATCGACACAAAGTCAAAGCAGAATCTTTGAAAAAAGACATACTCCTGCTGATAGTTATGCTACTAAGAGACATAAAAATCAGTTTAGTACAGATCCCCCAAAGCTTTCCTGAATAGAGGGATGAACTTCTCATAAATGTCTATTCTCAGAGGAATCTGAAGCAGCCATTCCGACCTCTCTCTAATCTACTCTCGATCATAATTGAAGCTAAGCATTAAGTTCCAAAGCTAAAGGGAGGGATTAAAAAATAATGATTTTAATTGAATGAATGTCTATGCATGAGTTTATAATGATTCTCAAATAGCAATATTACCTTAGCAAGGAGGTTCTGTAGAACAGGGGACATGAAAAAATCAGTGGCAACTAATCTGAAGGACTTTAAGTCTAATTTAATCTCCTAGGGTCTAGCAGAGGGCATAGTTGAAGGTTCTATTGTGTAGTTGTAACCCAGAGAGTTACTGTTCGGTTGCATTATGCTATGATCATACAAAATTGTCTAGTCTAAGTTTAATGCTGATTAGCTAATATTTCCATGCAGGCTTGTCTCACTATAGAGGTATTTTTTAGCATTTAATATAATGTTACTAATCTGAGTTTTGAATAGTGTGTTAAGCATCCTTGCTAGGACCATCTGTTGAATTGAGATGGCCAGTTTTAGAATATAAAACTCTGTTGTTTATCATTCTTTTTATTTATAAGAATTTTTCTCTTTTTTTTACATCAAATCTATAAAAATCATGCTTTACGGGGTTTTGGGGTTTTGGGGTTTTGGGG